ATATTGCAGCCATTTGCTAAAATCATTTCAGTTTTTTTTTTCCTCATTAATGTACACACAGCACCCCATATTGACAGAAAAACACAGCATTGTTGACATTTTTGCAGATTTATTCAAAAAGAAAAACTGAAATATCACATGTTCCTAAGTATTCAGACCCTTTGCTCAGTATTTAGTAGAAGCACCCTTTTGATCTAATACAGTCATGAGTCTTTTTGGGAAAGATGCAACAAGTTTTTCACACCTGGATTTGGGGATCCTCTGTCATTCCTCCTTGCAGATCCTCTCCAGTTCTGTCAGGTTGGATGGTAAACGTTGGTGGACAGCCATTTTTAGGTCTCTCCAGAGATGCTCAATTTGGTTTAAGTCAGGGCTCTGGCTGGGCCATTCACGAACAGTCACAGAGTTGTTGTGAAGCCACTCCTTTGTTATTTTAGCTGTGTGCTTAGGGTCATTGTCTTGTTGGAAGGTAAACCTTCGGCCCAGTCTGAGGTCCTGAGCACTCTGGAGAAGGTTTTCGTCCAGGATATCCCTGTACTTGGCCGCATTCATCTTTCCCTCGATTGCAACCAGTTGTCCTGTCCCTGCAGCTGAAAAACACCCCCACAGCATGATGCTGCCACCACCATGCTTCACTGTTGGGACTGTATTGGACAGGTGATGAGCAGTGCCTGGTTTTCTCCACACATACCGCTTAGAATTAAGGCCAAAAAGTTCTATCTTGGTCTCATCAGACCAGATAATCTTATTTCTCACCATCTTGGAGTCCTTCAGGTGTTTTTTAGCAAACTCCATGCGGGCTTTCATGTGTCTTGCACTGAGGAGAGGCTTCCGTCGGGCCACTCTGCCATAAAGCCCCGACTGGTGGAGGGCTGCAGTGATGGTTGACCTTCTGCAACTTTCTCCCATCTCCTGACTGCATCTCTGGAGCTCAGCCACAGTGATCTTTGGGTTCTTCTTTACCTCTCTCACCAAGGCTCTTCTCCCCCGATAGCTCAGTTTGGCCGGACGGCCAGCTCTAGGAAGGGTTCTGGTTGTCCCAAACGTCTTCCATTTAAGGATTATGGAGGCCACTGTGCTCTTAGGAACTTTAAGTGCAGCAGAAATTTTTTTGTAACCTTTGCCAGATCTGTGCCTTGCCACAATTTTGTCTCTGAGCTCTTCAGGCAGTTCTTTTGACCTCATGATTCTCATTTGCTCTGACATGCACTGTGAGCTGTAAGGTCTTATATAGACAGGTGTGTGGCTTTCCTAATCAAGTCCAATCAGTATAATCAAACACAGCTGGACTCAAATGAAGGTGTAGAACCATCTCAAGGATGATCAGAAGAAATGGACAGCACCTGAGTTAAATATATGAGTGTCACAGCAAAAGGTCTGAATACTTAGGACCATGTGATATTCCAGTTTTTCTTTTTTAATAAATCTGCAAAAATGTCAACAATTCTGTGTTTTTCTGTCAATATGGGGTGCTGTGTGTACATTAATGAGGGAAAAAAATTACTTAAATGATTTTAGCAAATGGCTGCAATATAACAAAGAGTGAAAAATTTAAAGGGGTCTGAATACTTTCCGTACCCACTGTACATGCATGTGTGTGTGTATTTATATATAGATTTAAATATACACAGTACACACACAAATATCATGCAAACATAAACTTTTATTTTGGATGTGATTAATCGATTTGACAGCTCTATTGTTTTTATATGTTGGTCTATATATATATATTTTTTTATATATATATTTTTTTTTTTATTGTTAACATTGTGGGAGTGGGTAAAGATGTATTTTGCATCTGTTTAAAAGCCAATAAAGAAATAAAATATTATAAATAAATATTTATTGATTTCATGCTAGTTATTTATTTTCTTGTTTTATTTTCATTTATTTGACAAGAAAGGTGACAATATCGAAAATATGAACAATATGGAAAATATAGAGAACAGGACTGGGACATAACCCCGTTTTAGTCATGAGATGTTTAGCATGATTTCTATAAAGGTTTGTCGCATAGTTAAATCGGACAAAGCAAAAGTACCACCTTATAATAATAATCATAATAATGATGATGATGAAGAAAAAAACTCTACTGTTGGATGAACCAATTGACAAAATTAGTTACTTGTATTAAGGGTAAAGTAATGCATCACTTTTAAAGTAACGCATCTCAATGCCGTTAGTGAGTCATGTGTTGCTGAGCTCCTCTGAGGAGAAGCGCGCAAGCTTCATCTTCCTCACTCAGACGTGAAGGAGCCGGAGATTCTCTCCCATCAGCCTTAAAGCCTTTGATAAGATTCCCTGGTGGCAAAGGGGGATTGAAACTCATAACACGCTGAGATCTGTGTGTATCGGAGTGTGTGTTTCTGTAATGGTTATGTGTGTAGATGGCCTCTCGCTATCCAGGCCACCGCATTGCTGTTTAGAGCAGTCAAAACCCATTTCACATGATGGCTGAAGTGCCATTTTCTCAAACACTGTTTCTCCCAACTCGCGGGGTGCTAAATAAATCTGCCCAGGAAAACACATTCATTAGGTTAATGCACAGATGCAAAATGCATTTTTCCCCCCTCTCTCAATGTTTTATGATTTATTGTGCTGCAGGAATGTGAAATTGAGTATACCCGAATAAGTTATTTTCAACTTTAGTTAGTCTGTAATGTTGCTGTTTGAGCATGAACAAGAACTGCAAAGTTACAAAGCTCAAAGTCCACTTCAAAAGGAGATATTTTATTGAACAGAAATCACTTTTCAAAAACTACAACGAGCGATTCGTTTGGACTACAACGCAGATTTTCTGGGATTTGTGAGGACAAAGCAAAAGTACCACCTTATAATAATAATCATAATAATGATGATGATGAAGAAAAAAACTCTACTGTTGGATGAACCAATTGACAAAATTAGTTACTTGTATTAAGGGTAAAGTAATGCATCACTTTTAAAGTAACGCATCTCAATGCCGTTAGTGAGTCATGTGTTGCTGAGCTCCTCTGAGGAGAAGCGCGCAAGCTTCATCTTCCTCACTCAGACGTGAAGGAGCCGGAGATTCTCTCCCATCAGCCTTAAAGCCTTTGATAAGATTCCCTGGTGGCAAAGGGGGATTGAAACTCATAACACGCTGAGATCTGTGTGTATCGGAGTGTGTGTTTCTGTAATGGTTATGTGTGTAGATGGCCTCTCGCTATCCAGGCCACCGCATTGCTGTTTAGAGCAGTCAAAACCCATTTCACATGATGGCTGAAGTGCCATTTTCTCAAACACTGTTTCTCCCAACTCGCGGGGTGCTAAATAAATCTGCCCAGGAAAACACATTCATTAGGTTAATGCACAGATGCAAAATGCATTTTTCCCCCCTCTCTCAATGTTTTATGATTTATTGTGCTGCAGGAATGTGAAATTGAGTATACCCGAATAAGTTATTTAAGTGATTTAGAGGTTGACACTGAATATTTTTTCCCACAGTTCATGATTTATGGTTATTGCAAAAATATGAAATTGACTATATGAGTATAAGAACATTACTTTATAATATGAATAATTTAGTTGATTTAGAGGCCTAATGATAATGCCCATGTATACAAAGGAAGCCGAGAATCTGTCCTTGAAACAGGATGTCTGGCAGGAATTTAGATGGCTAATTTGAATGCATATTATGGTCAGCTGGATGTCAGTGCATACATTAGACCTGTTTGATGCAATATCATGTATAATTCAGTTGCTTTTCAAAATGTCTTGTTTTCAAAATCAACTGCCTCTCTGATAAATCCTTTATTAAGGTGTCAGCCAGGTTCAGCTGTGTAGATATTAGACCTCAATTAGTACCAATATTCTAATCTCGGTAGGGCCAATAATGGCGCGACTGTTTAAATTCATGCTTTTTTCTTTTCTCTAATGTGGTCAGGCATCCGCTTGGCAGAGTGTGTGTGTGCAGTTGTGCATCACGCTGCGTGTCTGTCCTTGAGTCCTTGTGTGTGTTTGTTTTGAGCTGTGTCACTACATCAGTGTTATTGGATGTGTAAATCACAAGGAGTGTCGGCGGAGGTCACGTCCATCAGGTCAATGCCAGGGACAAAAGGACACGCTCCTCTCATTCTCCATGACTGCACACAGGGGATTCTCTGCGTCTTTCATCATGCCGCCATCGTCAGCCTTAACGATAGCGGCAGCTTCATTAAGGGCCTCGTTAAGTCCTGTCGTTAAGGCAGGTCATTAAGGCCCTTCGTTAAGAACCCCAGGCTTGGAGCGGCAAACTGCTGGCAGACTTGACTGACCGAGAGCTCAAGGCGGAATTAAGGGATGGAATCAGGAATGCCAAAGCCACAACACAGCAACGGCTTCATGGCTGCCTGCTCTCACTAGCAAAAACACTCGACACCTGGACTGGAAGACACGTAGTTCCCTCGACTGATCACCAACTGAAGCTGAGGTACTGACTAACACCTCGTATTAACATCCATTTAGAGCGATCTGATCACAAATGATCAGTGCTAAATACAGGTGTGGGGTCCCAAACATTTTGAGACTTCGCATATAGCACATATTTACCTGCCTGATCTCATTTGTATTCATAGAGGGTTACAACAAACATTTACATGTATATTACCATTCAAAAGACTGGGGTCAGTAATTATTTTTTATCAAGACTTTGTAAAAGAGCATAATAGGACCCCTTTAAAGAAATAAATACTTTTATTCAGCAAGGATGCATTAAATTGATAATGAAAAGTGAGAGTAAAGACATAATGTTAGAAAAAGATTTCTGTTTAAAATAATTGCTGTTCTTTGGAAATGTCTGTTCATCAAAGAATTCTGAAAAAATTGTTTTCCCCAAAAATGTCTGTATATTAGTATTAGTAAATAGATGTGGAATGTCTTTGATTTACATCAGCATGACGCAGATCATCTGAAGTTCATCAAAAAAAAAAAAAAAAACTTTATATAGGAGCTAAAATAACAATGAGCATTTTATTAAAAACAGCATGTTTGACTACATATGAACATGCTGAGAAAAGCTGTGTGATACTGCTATCTGAGTAGGAACGCCTACTTGCAACCAACAGTACAGTGATCTGGAGACCTCAATGTGAGCACCTCTTGACATGGAAAAACTGTTTTATCGTTTGCCAACTTGTTGCATTGCGCCTGGCTATTGTACACAAGAATGTGTATCACTGAGCAGAATGTGCTTTCTTAGAGTTTTCCTCATAATTGCCCACCGAGTGTCAGGACATTCTTTGGGGATTTACATTTACACAACCACATGTTTTGTCTCAAAATTCAATCTAGAAAAGCCATTGAATATTCTGATTCCAAAAAAAATCTCCATTTTGATTGGAACACACTCAACTCTTTCCACACTCGAATGCATAGGACACGCTCCCATTTGTCTTCCAAACTTGCTGTGTGGCACTTTTTGTTGAAGTTGTGCTGTTATGGGGTCTTTTTAAGAAGCTGTATTCTGGCCACGTAGAAGCAGTAATGAGGATGAATGCTGATGCTTTCTCCACACTCTTCCCTCTGAGCGTCATGCGCTCCCTATGCAGCCCAGGCTTTGCTCACTGCATGAAAGCTCCTTAGCCGTAGACTGCCGCTGATCTGGTAACCAGACTCCACCCTCAATCAGTGCCCAGAGTACGAGCGTTTCACACAAGGCTGTGTGATCATTACCGCCCATCTGTACTGTCTGCCAATGAGCCCCTGAAGTCCTCATCTGTCAAAGTGGAGTCTATATTTTAAGATGAATCTTTTGTTTTACCGTTTTTGCTTTATGCACATAAAGTTGATGATGTTTTGACCTCTGTGCTGGGTATTAACTGGCTGCATGTAATCTGGATTACATATTATTCACACAAGTCTTTGTCATTGGAAGGCTTTTGTCTTTAAAACACATTTAAATGCACAAATTCATGTTATTTCTTTTTTTGTGTAATACAGGGATTCCCAAACTTTTTTTGTCAGCTGAACCTCTTTCATCTAATACATTTACTTGAAGTACTCTCTGAGAGTTAATTATAAGTTAATTACACATTTGCATGTTCACGGTTGTCTGATGTTGGTAAATGGTCACATGACATGCAGGTAAACAAATGCAATATTTCATATTTTTTAGTAAGTGTTTCATTTTGATTGTTGTTATTTTAAAATGATTGTTTTTACTTTAAAATGTGTATAATTTAATTAATTATTAGCTTTTCATTAAACTCCCAGTTTGCAGTTACTTCATGAACCACAGTTAAAAAAACACTTGACGTTATGGTCTTAATAACAACAAATGGAATATATTTTCATTCTCTTTGTATTTTTATATCAATCAATGTGATAGATGAGTTGGGTCACAAGTAATCTAAAAGTAATCAAAAAGTGGATTATATTATACCTAAAATGTGTAATGTAATGGATTATGTTACTAGCTAGAATTTTTATGTAATTTGGAATCAGTAACGGATTACAATCTACCCAGTATATATATATATATATATATATATATATATATATATTAGTCTTTCTTAACCCTTCAGTCTCTTGTAATCTTTCTGTCTCAACCGTTCCCTCTCTTTTTCTCTTCATCAGCTTCACACTGACATGGACAGAGGTGATGGACGCACTAAGTATGTGCTGCGGGGTGAGGGGGCGGGGTCAGTGTTTGTGATTGACGAGAAGACGGGCAACATCCACGTAACCAAGCCCTTGGATCGGGAGGAGAAGGACGAATACCGGCTGATTGCCACAGCAACAGACAGTCAGACAGAGCGTGCCCTGGAGCCCTCCTCCCAGTTCATCATTAGAGTGCAGGATATCAACGACAACCCACCTGTCTTCGAGGAAGGACCCTACAGCGCCACAGTACCCGAGATGGCAAACATAGGTAGCGGAAGACAACATATGCTCATCCCCGCTAGCACATTTTCTTGGTGAATGTCAATGATTTTTGAATAATGCAGGATTCATGCTGTCCCAAAAATCACTGGATGAAAAGCTGAGGAAAATGCTCCCTATAATTTGCGGTGTTTAAATGTGAAATAACCTCTCACGTTTATCGATTTTACGTCCATTTGAGGTGGGCTCAAAATATTACCCCTAGACAGTAGTGCTCTTTTTGTTTTCCTGAAATGGGTTTAATTAATATCAAAGGATCCCAAGTGCAAACAAGAAATATTCTTTGCTGCATCTGAATGCTCGAACCCTTGCTGAGGTAAACGAAACCAGAGCGCCATTCAAATCTAATATTCCATCAGTGTGAATGCGTTATCAGTCTAAATTGTGGCGTGTTTCTTCAGTTCCACTCAGATTGAATATGAATAGATTTCTCTGAGCCGCTGCATGTTGCGTCAACCCGGCATTCACGTCTGTTTTTTGATCTGCCTATCTGATCATTCATTTACAGTGACAATCTCTCTCTCGCTCTCGTTCTCCTACTGTCTTCTATTTGCTGCTTCTTAACTACCTGCGAAAGATCTGTAATCAGACGGCACCCTCCCCTCAACCCACAAGCTTTTTGGTGACACTGGCAGGGCTTTGATGTCTGAAAACAGCAA